CAGAACGAATAACAAAAGGGACACGTATTAATACATTATTAGACAATTTGAAGAAAATAAAATAAAAATAAAACACCCAATTTCGTCCTGCCACAAGACCCTGTCATCCCCTCCTTGTTGGCAATCTCTGTCCAAGGAGCATGATTGAAGCTTTAAAACTACCTTAACCGCTCAGAAATCAGAAGTTTGAGAACCTCGTCAAACGCTTTATGATGAATCGGGCGAATAATAGATTATATCAGCCAAAATACAAAATGTTTAGTTTTTACACTTGAATGTGATCCGATGTCTAAATTTACACGTGGCATACTCCTATTTGTTCACGCCACGGTTAAAGGTACAAATAATCGTGGGCCGGTCTTGTATAGTGGGGACGCTCCACCGTCCATCTGTCAAATCAACTTTTTCATCTTTCCAGAGAATATACACCTAAGACAGCATGGCCACGCCTAAACTATTTGTAGGATCTAGCGCTTGGCTTGTAGGATCTTGGTTTCTATTTACCTCTGCTTGACCATTTTTTTCCCTTTCAAGATCTATTTTATAAAAACAATTTTTCAAAAATCTATAGATTAAAAGTAAGAAGAATTTTAAATTTTCGTATAAAATTATTGTAATGAACATATAATTAAAAATGAATTTGCAAAAAATAAATTTAAAAATTTGACTCAAACAGGATACAAAGAAATATTCATTTTAATAAGCTCATATAAATATATTTCACGTAATTAGTCAAGTTCAAGAACGGTCAATCCATTAACATTGGCGGGCAAATGGGTCAATTTGGTCTAGCTCAAAAGGTAACTATCAAAGAAAAATTCTAAAGAATCGACCGTCTATGTTGATTACTCTTGTGAATTTGCACCGTCCATTTTGACACGTCTAACTGTGTTAATACACATCAATTAGTATGTCCATTGGATTTGAATCATAATGTTGAAATTCTTTAAAATTGATAATCATGCAAAAAGCAAAAAGGAGTGGGGGACACAAAACACAATGAGGGATTCAGGGTTGATGACTGTGATCCGACGGGGACAAGTGGGTCCCTTGTCAAGAGTGTACCACTTGGAAAGCTTCTTCGCAAGGGGCCCCGAATGGAATGCATTTTCAGAGAGCCGTTTCTTGGATGCTCATTGCCGAGAATGTTTTCTAGCAAAATTATTTATTTAAAGAATAATGCTATCTAACACCAGTAATGCTATAACACTTTTCGAGTGATCAAACTTGATAGATTCAATCAAATGAATAATATGACATTGTATTTAAGTGAATCTATTATTCAATAACATGCAGCTGTCACATAAACTGATGTTTAACATCAATGTGACATGTTCAATATATTAGATTAAATAATAATAGATGGTAAATATTGAAGTTTTCATTGTAATTTTGTATAGTAGTGTTTAATATTGAGAGAGCCATGATTTAGGATGTAAGCAAAATTATTTATTTATGACATCTTCTATAATCAATGGAAGTGTTAAATTTTTCACTATTATATGAAGCAATGATGTGATTTAAGATGAAAACATATCTTCTTTCAATAGTGCTGTATATTCCCACTGAAGTTATAATCTCAGTAAAACTAAATAACATTAATCTTCTTTCTTTGCAATTGGGTCATACTAAGTCACCGGCCTGGTCCCAGCTTCTTGGCTTTTGGTTCGTGAGGGTCATCAATTGGCTACTGAGTTTTCAAATGGTTAAACATTTTGATTTTGACCCATTACTAATTTGCATCTTAAACATCATTTCGTGGTAATATTCTTTGCTCACATTCTTTGTTGTTTTGTACTTTTCATACCATTTTGCACTCTGTAACATTGGTGGGATGAGATTCGGAGATTATTTGACAATATAAATTATAAATCACTGGATAAATCACATGGTAGTAAAAATAGTAATTCCCTATTTGGTATAACTAGAGAGACAACAGAAATTTAGATCAAAGTCAACAATTAATTTTAACCATACTTTTCATAGGATCCACAAATTTTATTAACTTTTCAACTACAGATTTCATCAATTTTTATCAAAATCTATTAAAAATATGATTTTTAGCTAAACCAAACTGGGGTTAGATCTTTTTCTTCCAATTTTGCTTCTTATCTAATATTCCATAACAAACATGACTCAACAAGCTTACATCTCATTCTTTCTTATGAGAATCTAACTTACATACCCTTCTAGTAGACCAAGTTGACAAAAATGGGAAATAAACTAGAAATTAGTCGCTTCTAGCGAAGCGTCTAGAAGGCTATCCACTATAAAAAGAATACTATTAATCAACTCTCACTTGTATATAGAAGTAATAATAGTTTTTAAGATGAAATCGAGACAATAAGATTGAAATACGAAAGGCTAAACAATTAATATCGCGACAAAAGTACTACATGTGTGCATATTAAATTAGTAAGTCGCAAAAATATTTAAAGCAAAAAAAAAAAAAAAAAAAGGATATTTCATACTTAACATATTTAATTTTTATCAATTTATTCCATCAGGCAATTGAGTTGGAGTTGAAGTTCTTGAGACGATTAATTATTAATGGTTGCACCTGCGTGTCTAAAGAATATGTAATCATGGACTTTGAATTTGAAAATGAGTGTGCTAATATGATGATTTGGCAAAGTGACTTTCAGGCGGGAATTATTATAGGTCAACCAGATTGAACTCTTCTAAACAAATATATGAACGGCAAAATACCTGTAGAGAGTCGTCCATGGGTAGGGTATAAGTACTTATTAATTCCATGTTCATTTCCCGAAAATACTTGGTACCTTTTTTTGGTTAATATTTCAGAGTGGAAATTCTAGATATACGATTGCAGCCATAATGAGCATACACCAGATCAAGAGAAGGCACATGCGAATGCAACAGTTACTGTGATTAATTCTTTACTGTTCGACAAAGGTTTCGCAGGGAGAAGGGATATAAGCAAAAATATTAATAACAAAAAATGAATAAAAAAAAAGATATGACTTCAGACTCGGAATACACGGAATAAGAACACTCCCTGCATGGAGTGGTTTCACTCCATGTGCAGAGTTTGTATGGAGTGAAACAACTCAATGCAACTACTCCGTGGAGTGGACGCATCTCTGCACACTTTCTTTTTTCTATTTCATTTTTGCATTTTTTAATTGTTTTGTCTTTATCTATGATTTAACTTTATTTTTTAAAAACGTGTTCATCTTTGATAAGTTTTCACTATTTAATATTATTTTTGGACTTCTTTTAGTATAATTATGAAAATATATATTGTTATTGAAACTATATTTTAATAAAAGGATTACTATATCTAGAGTGTCAAAATTTATTTGGAAGTAAAAAGAGAAAAAAAAAAAAAAAAGAAGAAGAAAATCACACAAATCTTTCTTAGGTAGAGGTGAAGCATAAAAATTGTAACCAATCAATCATGATGTGGGCTAGGATTAAGACAGCGCTCATTCAATTACCAAAAAGATTAACAAAATCACGGCTCTGCCAACGCTGATTATTGAAAGAATTCCATACGTTTTTCCTTCTTGAAAAAACACTTTTTTTGTGTCTTGTTCTTATAATTTGAAGTTCAATTCATTAATAAATTTCAGTTAAAATCTGTATCAAATAGATTTAGCCCCTTATTTATTTAATTTTTTGGTTTGGGGGTTGTCAATTAAAAAGTTGTGGGATTTATGAAATATATGATTGAAATTAAGATGAGTGTTTCAGAACTTGGGATTAAATCTCGGGTTTCAATCCACCTCGGCCCTTGATCTTCAATCATGCGGGGCCTGCGCGATTCACATCGGGGGCTAAGGTTTTGCCATCTCCCCCTTGGCTCCAAACTCCGGGTTTTATCCCTGTTTGAACAGTAATTTTTTAAATTAATTATTGACTTTGATTTAGATTAAAATTTAAATTCAATTCCCACCAAAAAGGGGCTAAATTAAAAATTATGAAAGAAGTGTAAACGTATAGGATTGTATGAACATGAGAGCATGATAGCACAAAACATAAAATAGGCCATTGATTCAAGGAAAAAGATGACAACTACATGCAAAATGGCCTCCGCCATGTGGATGTGGGATTACCCATTTTCTGTAAAGTAAAACCATTTACAACTAGACAAAGACATCAATCATGTCAGATTTCTACTAATTCTTTTATTAATCAAATTAATTATTTAATTCAAAAACCACTTATTTTACACCACTATAAGTAGCCCTCTAATTTATCAATCTTCTCACACTCACACTCACACACACTACCAAATACATCTTCTTTCCCAGTTTCATCACCACATTTATTATTTTCATCAGTTACATATCCCTTCAATCGCAATGGCCACATCTCAGGTTCTCTTTTTGTATTTTCATAGATTATAACCTCAGCAAGTTCTCGTTCTAGATTACTTAGTGCAACCCACCCACCTTGAGATCAAAAGTTTATAGTATACTAATCAAGTTTTTGATTTAGCTCCAGCAGTCGACTCCTGTACCGATTTAGGTTTTTCAGGATTGATAATTCAATCGAATGTGATATTTGATCATGAATAAAGATCTTTGATAATCTCAAATGAATTTATCTGAACTAATCATAATTGGCTAGTTTCATTAATAGATCAATGCTGATCTCTTTTCTATATGTTTGTGTATGATTGAAAAATGGATAATGATCATTTTTATCAGTATTTCTATTATCTCAAGACTAAAAATTCTGTTTTCAATAGGTTGCGTCAGCTCCAACGCCACTAACGGAGACTGTTAAAACTGAGGAGGTGAAGACCGTTGTAGAGGCCTCAAAAAAAGAAGAGGTGGCTGCAACACCAGCCCCCGAGGTGGTGACCGAGGAAGTAACCAAAGAAGAGGTGGCAGCACCACCAGCTGCCCCCGAGGTGGTGCCCGAGGAACAAGTGAAAGCAACCGAAGAAGAGGTGACATCAACCGAGGTTGTGACCAAAGAACAAAAGAAAGCAACCGAAGAAGAGGTGGCGGCACCTGTTGCTCCTGTAGCCGAGACTAAGGAGGTTACAGTAGAAGAGACCGTGGCGGAAGATAAAACCAAAGAAGTTACACCAAAAGAGCCGGTGGAAGAAAAAATAGAAGCTGAAGCTCCAAAGGAGGTTGTTGTTGAGGAGACTAAGGAAGAAGCTCCCAAATGCACTGATGCACCGGCAACTGAGGAGGAGAAACCAGCCGAAGCTGTGGCGCCGGCTGCGAAAGAGGAGTGAGGGTTTCGCGGTATCCAGCATGTTCAAAGTTTGTTTTCTATTGTTTCTTTCAGTTTGTTATTTTAGTATTATGTATTGGGGTTTCAAAGCAGAAATAATATTAGCTTGTTGAGTCCAAAAAGCACTATGTTATGATGCATAATTAAATGTTTACCTGAGTATGGCTTTCTGATGGAATATTGAACCGTAAATTATTTTACTTAATACTATATTTTCTCTCTGTTATGAGCAATACATCCTTGTGGGAACCTCCCCTCCTCTATCCCATATCCCCAAAAGTAAAATAAGAGGTCAAATGATTTCACTTAGGTATTACTGGGATATTAAGTAGGACGGTGCTTGCTATACGCTCGTTTACAATGAGAGTGACAACCTCCTCACAGCGTAGGCCCCCCCATGTGAGGAGGCTGCAAGCTCGTACAGCATCAAGTAGAATTTCCCTATTAAGTAAGACAAGCTAGTTCGACACATCGTGAATTTCTCGTGCAAACCGTTTGTAAAAATGTAATTTTAAGTAAATAAAAACTAAAAACTGATGCGCCGTGGGCTCGACACCAAGGGCAAGTTGGTGGTACAAACTGAGCGACTTGGGCAAAGCATTGCGCTGAATCCATTCACACGCTGTACCTAATGATTTAACTTCAGCTTTTCAATATTCTATCCAGCTGATGAATATAAACAATTCTCGTATGCTCTAAAGATACATATATCTCTAGATTATAAAGAGACCTTTCAGTAAAATTACCATATTCATCGGTTCCAACTTGGGCAATTCCTTCATCGGCAATCTTTAACTTCAAATAATTACGCATCATTCTCATAGTCATCATACGCATTGTAAGTATAAGACAACAAAAGAGAATGAACATTGGACATTATAAAGCATGGGGGAGAGGGATCAGCATTTCACCTTCAAAGAAAAAGGAATTCCAAAATGTAAGCGAACTTTCATAATTCTTGACCTTTTTATTAACTAGCTTTTACCAATATCAACATTTGACAAGGGACGCTATAAGTCACAATCTTAATTAAAGAGAACACAATGGCAACACCCCTTAATTACATGGTCTGGCTCCAAAACAGATTAGAGTTGCCTGTATTATGTACACTACAGCCTGAATGCACATCTTTTATGTGCAACAGAAAGCACAGTCCAAAATTGCAGCTAGTTTGTCACAAAGTACCAAAGCTGCAACCTACATGTTCCTGAGTTATGACGCGAAGTCGATCTTGCATGATGGACATGGAAGGATAAGCTGGGAAACACAACCTGTAGAAGCATGTGTGAGAAGATGGTAGCCGATTGGATGACTCAGACGACTTATAGATGTAAAGGCGAGAACCCAGACCACCAAAACCTTCAACCGGTAGATATTTTATTGAGGTCCAGAAGAAGAGGAGAACCTTTTTCTGCTCTTTTGACATGCGCCCTACGATCTGGAAGGGTAAAATTTAGTCAAATTAGAAGGATAGGATTCATACAACTCCAAGCACAACAAAAATTTAGGCACTTCATCCATATTGGGGAACTTCAGTGAATCCATATTGCAGTGCTTCAAAAGTTCTAGAACACATTTCTATCCTTTGACTCTGAAATTCTAGAAGAGCACACATATACCAAATAGTCCAAATGATGAAGAAATTGTTCATGAGATGTCTGACAAAGAATTGCTTCATCTCGGAAATCATGAAAACGATGGCTCATCAGCTAATGTTACAATAAAATAGATGTAATCAGCAACATGGACAGTTATATGCCATAGGAAGACACCGAAGAAAATTAATACTTCCTTTTTTCATCTAAAAATATTTTAAGAAAATATGGAAAGCAGCTCAAAAAGCACAAGGTTAGTTATAACTTCTAAAGAAACTATGTCTTTTCCAACTTAATTTTGAAAGAGGAGATATCTCCTTTCAAATATGTAGTCCTAAATTGCAAGACCATGTTTGATATACTCGACTAGATAGAATTGAACATGATTAGCAAGAGCGGCATGTAATAAAATTTGTCTATTGTCTCCATCCAGTATTGTCCTGTAAATTTTCTTTTACAAAAAAACTATGTATCAACTAGTTTTTATATGAATCCTCTCTACCATGAACATCAAAAGGAGCATATTTGGGTAAGTTTAAAAAGTTTACAAGTTCACTTACAGGTAAATAAGCAATTTTAGTTTTTTGAGGGTGCATGTTTGGACAAACTGTACTTGCAAGTATTTCTATGTTCATTCCTGTTTCTTTTCTCTGTTACTTCATCGTCAAATTTCAAAAGCAGGTAGATGATTCCATATCACATTTTCTCGACAAAACAACAAATTGATTGTTTAAAGCCTCCCAGTTACAAAATAGTTCCCCTCTACTAAAATTTCATTCTATAACTCAAGCTTAACATGTCTATAATTTGTACAGCCTTGAATCCCACCCCTCTCTAACATTTTTAATTCCTTCATTAAGCATCTGTTAACGCTTTAAGCTATTATATAATTCCATCAAACATAAATACCTACCTCACCTAGAATAAGATTCCATATGGCCCAATTGCTTTTCTAGTCTTCATCCTCCTAGTGCAATATTAAGACAGATTTATTTCCTAGAGTTAGTAGGATTTTAATGTTCCCCAATATCTACAATATGCCAACTGATAGTCTAGTCCTCCTCAATAGTCTATAAATGATTCCATCCTTTTCCTGTTGTTACTAAATAAAGTTATTTGACTTTCATCCTTATGCACACAACTTCCCACACGCTTAAACATGGGACTCTCAAATATCACACCTCTTGCAACATTTTGCACCATCTGTTTCTATGATCCAAGTTCCTACTCTAGTTCTATTATCTTCGACTAACTTTCCTCACATTCACAAGTGCCTCACTTGATGTGCTATGCAATTTCTTATAATCTAATATTTACTCTCATTATCTAAATTTCCCATGTCCGATGGCACTTGAATGAAATACTTAGCAAAGCAATTGTTCAAAGCAACATTTACCAGCTAAAGACAACTTATAAACCTACAGAACGAAATGTTATTCTTGTTTCGATAATAGAAGGGGGGCAATTATTGTTGAGGTAAATAAGATGGTCAAATAAAAAAAATGTCCTGCAACAATAGCTAGACCAAAAATGCAAATGACAATCGAGAAGAACAACTATCAATTTACTTCTTACCTAAACACATCATACTATAAATTCTACATATAACATGAAAATCAGTATGCAATTAGTTTGGCATAACTAGAGTTAGTAGGATTTTAATGTTCCCCAATATCTACAATATGCCAACTGATAGTCTAGTCCTCTAGTCTAGTCCTCCTCAATAGTCTATAAATAATTCCATCCTTTTCCTGTTGGTACTAAATAAAATTATTTGGCTTTCATCCTTATGCACTCAACTTCTCACACGCTTAAACAGGGGACTCTCAAATATCACATCTCTTGCAACATTTTGCACCATCTGTTTCTATGATCCAAGTTCCTACTCTAATTCTATTTTCTTCGACTAATTTTACTCACATTCACGTGTGTCGGAACCTCACTTGATGTGCTATGCAATTTCTTATAATCTAATATTTACTCTCATTATCTAAATTTCCCATGTCCGATGGCACTTGAATGAAATACTTAGCAAAGCAATTGTTCAAAGCAACATTTACCAGCTAAAGACAACTTATAAACCTACAGAACTAAATGTTATTCTTGTTTCGATAATAGAAGGGGGGCAATTATTGTTGAGGTAAATAAGATGGTCAAATAAAAAAAATGTCCTGCAACAATAGCTAGACCAAAAATGCAAATGACAATCGAGAAGAACAACTATCAATTTTACTTCTTACCTAAACACATCATACTATAAATTCTACATATAACATGAAAATCAGTATGCAATTAGTTTGGCATAACTAGAGTTAGTAGGATTTTAATGTTCCCCAATATCTACAATATGCCAACTGATAGTCTAGTCCTCTAGTCTAGTCCTCCTCAATAGTCTATAAATAATTCCATCCTTTTCCTGTTGGTACTAAATAAAATTATTTGGCTTTCATCCTTATGCACTCAACTTCTCACACGCTTAAACAGGGGACTCTCAAATATCACATCTCTTGCAACATTTTGCACCATCTGTTTCTATGATCCAAGTTCCTACTCTAATTCTATTTTCTTCGACTAATTTTACTCACATTCACGTGTGTCGGAACCTCACTTGATGTGCTATGCAATTTCTTATAATCTAATATTTACTCTCATTATCTAAATTTCCCATGTCCGATGGCACTTGAATGAAATACTTAGCAAAGCAATTGTTCAAAGCAACATTTACCAGATAAAGACAATTTCTAGACCTACAGAACTAAATGTTATTCTTGTTTCAATGATAGAAGGGGGGCAAATATTGTTGAGGTAAATAAGATTGTTAAATAAAAAACATGTCCTGCAACAATAGCTAGACCAAAAATGCAAATGACAATCGAAAGAAACAACATGTCCTGCAACAATAGCTAGACCAAAAATGCAAATGACAATCGAAAGAAACTATCGATTTTACTTCTTACCTAAACACATAATACTATAAATTCTACATATAACATGAAGATCAGTATGCAATTAGTTTGGTATAACTATCAGTGATAAATAATAATAAGATTACTTGAACAAGGCCGTGGCAGTCAAACCATCAACAGAAGATACAAACTTTGATATAAAATAAAAGGAAAAGCGTCAAACAAGATAGCCATAGTCATAATCAAAATTCAAATATGCTGCTATGTAGAGCTAGTACGCGGACCGACATCTGCAGTGAAGTCGACATGGGAGTTAGAAGGAAAATTTCAGTCTAGGAATTTGTGTTTCATAAGTTCCAATTTAGGAATTTGTATCATTGTAAATCTTGATTTTGCCTAATTTGCTTATAAAGAGGGAGCCATCATTAGGCTTTTATATTACCATTATAAAAGAGAGAGAGAGGGGTTAGAGAAGATTTGAGCTTTTTTGTTGTAAACTTTTTTTCAATATAGTGAATTATTGCAACGGATGAAGAGGACGTATTCTCAGATTGAAACGAACATTTATAACTCTTGCGTGTCTTTATTTCTTTTCACGAATATCTCGCGGTGGAATAGAATTCGAATTTCTAATTCTCAATAAATTATTGGCCGAGAGAAGCTAAGCAAATTCGGATGAGATGAGATCATATAGTTAAGATTTATCTTAGGAAGGACAATGCTACATTTATCTACACATTTTTACTAAATCTTTTACCTACACTCACAACAGGAGGGTAGGTCCCACAAGCCAGAATTTTTAAATGCACGCGAGGCCCGCGCGCATGTGAGGGCAAGGCACCAATTTGATAACTCATTTTCGGTACATATATATTTATCCATATTAGGAAAGTAGTCTATTAGCATTTAAGTGCCCATTCCGAAAATAGAATTAAATTTGGCATACTTATAGCAATTCGCCAAAAGACAACTGGTTGATTTAGGTAATCAAGCTAAAATCTTAATTGGAATAGGTTGAACAAGCGTGAAATCTAAAAATGCATAGATTTATAATAAGTCCAAATTAGCTAAACATGAAACTAACAGGATAAATTGGGAGCATGAAGAAAACTGTAAAAGAAGTTGTATATATCTTGGAACTAAGGATGAAAAGAATTGTTTACAAGATAAATAGGCTAAGAGACAAGAAATAGAAATCTAAACCAAACATATTACGGATCAAAATAAAAAAGTTACCTTTCATGGTGAAATGTTACAAAAGGATGGATTAATTTGGCAAAATATTTAATAAAAGGCATAGCGTGGATCTTGGGGATGTTTAAACTCTATTTAAGATATAAATGTTAAGCATATTTTCCCAAAGTACGATTGGCAATCAAGAGAATGAATATTAAATGAAATTGGTACGCATAGAATCTTTCGTTAAGTTTAGAAGCATCTACGCCGTTGGGTATTTATGACCAAAATAGTTAAATGAGATTTTAAGAGTGAAAAAGATTCTGTATGTAACAAGGTCAAGTTTGATTGTCCACGATTTAAAATAGCTATTTAACGCTTATGTCTCGAGGCCACCTCATTTAAGGCTTTCACCAAATATTTCAACTAAGAAGCACGAATTCGAATACGATATGATACATCTTTTTAATAAAACTTGGAATATTAAATGAAATTGGTCCAAATAGAATCTTTCGTTAAGTTTAGAAGCATCTAAGATATTTGGGAATTTATGACCAGAATAATTAAATGAGATTTTAAGAGTGAAAACGATTCTCTATGTAGCAAAGTCAAGTCTGATAGTGTCCACAATTTAAAATGGCTATTTAAGCTTATGCCTTGAGGCCACCTCATTTAAGGCTTTCAACGAATATTTCAACTAAGAAGCACGAATTTGAATATGTAATTCGAATACGATACAATACTGATACAACGATACATCTTTTTAACAAAACTTAGAATATGTGGATACATGTATAGAATGTGGATACATGTATATATACTAGTATTTTTCACAAGTTAAAAATAAAATTCAGCATAATTTCATTATTATAAGAAAATTAAAATTGAGCCCCATTTTTGTGAAAAATAAGTTTTGTAATAGTGATTTTTTTGGAGAATGTATGTTTAAAAATATGAAAAAGTTTAGAATTTATATGCAAAATTATTTTAATAGAAAAATGTATGGTTGAAAATAAGTTAAAAAAAATTTTTTTTTTTTTTTTAGAGAATAGGGCTCAAACTTTTTGATAAGCATGGGGGTCTAGTTAATAAATATTATCTATTTTCAATACGTTACAGATAATAACAATATTTATCTACTAAGGTAAAAAATATATATATATATATCATCTATTACCATTAATAATATAATGAGATTTGAAAAGTTAAAAACCAATAAAACTCTTCTTCTTCACTTGTCCTAAGGTGTCAAATACGTATTTAAAATTTTAAAAAATATAAAATAATTAAAAAAAAAAACCTATCATGTACGTATCGAAGAGTGTCCAAACGTACCCAAATTTGAACACGTATCAAATACGGGTACACAATAAGTATACAAGTATGCTTCTTAGCATTTTGATGCTTGCTCTTTAATTCCATTTGTGAAGGCTTATCCTTGATTTTTTATCTTATATCTCTATTTACTTACATAAGCTTCACTTACATAAGCTTCAGGGCAACTGAGGCGTGCGCTTGTTTGTCATGTCCTTTTCGGACATTTAATTATTCCCCTCAATATTTGATCTATTTTTTTAAACAAAAAATTTTAACCTGTCTTTTTAATAGATTCTATTCTTTTCTTATTTTATAGGTTTGCCTCGAGTCATTTTATGAAGGGAAGTACCACGATGATTGTGTATATATTAAGGTGTGAATGCAAAGTGTCGGATAACCATTTAAATTTATGATACTATATTTTCCCGCACCTTAAGTGCCATTCGTGAGGCTAACACCTCAAGGTTAAGCCTCAAGATGATTAAGTTGTTTGTCCTTTGTCTTGCACTTTTTGGACATTCTATTATTGATCTTAGCTTTTCAAGTTATTTTCTTTTCTTTTACTGATGTATTTTATATTGTTTGCAAGCTAAACTTTCAATTTTGCTAATTTGTTCTATTATGGATTTTTAAGATGGTGCATGATTCATTAGGAGATTTTTTTGTATTTTTATATTCTTTTGAATATTTATTAGTCTATCTGGAAGCTTTATCCCTCACCTCTCCAAGGAAAAACACCTTGATAGCCGATTAAGCCTCTTTAAACATTGTAGATAAATATAGAGGGGCAAAAAAAATACACAATTCTATTTATTTAATAGAAAAAAAAAAGGAGGCTAGAAGGACAATATGTAAGTTGGAATTTCGAAAGAAGAGTTGAAATCTCAAGGTTTTTAGGTTAAGTTGAACTAGAATTGAATAGAAGTCCTCTTAATCTTGATATAAATAAGGACGATAGAGAAGATGAGGGACATCAATTTCTCACAAAGAATTTGCTGATTAAGCCTCTTTAAAAATTGTAGATAAATATAGAGGGGCAAAAAAAACACACAAATGGATTCTATTTATTTAATAGAAAAAAAGGAGACTAGAAGGACAATATTTAAGTTGGAATTTCGAATGAAGAGTTGAAATCTCAAGGTTTTTAGGTTAAGTTGAACTAGAATTGAATAGAAGTCCTCTTAATCTTGATATAAATAAGGACGATAGAGAAGATGAGGGACATCAATTTCTCACAAAGAATTAGCATTATAGGTATTTAGAATAAATCATAATTGAGGAAGGATGACTTTGTCAATGAGATTAAATAAGATTACGAAGATCATCGAAGATTACGCTTGACGTGTATATATTTATTACGATTGTACTATATATAGATAGATTGCTTTTACTATTTTTAAATTATATATTGTAACTATATAATTCAGAGATGTCCCAAGGGATAATTATTCAGCTAAAAGATTGACATGGTATTAGAGCCTCTTGGAATTTTCTCGTTTTTCTTGGTTGGCTTTTTTCACAGCAGGAGGAGCTTCCTATCATCTGCTTCCCTTGCTTTCTTCAAATTTTCCCAAGTAAAGCAGAGTAGTATAGCAGTAGGTGTTGGTTGAAAAACTAACCTTGTTTGATTTCTTCGTACAGCATCAACGGTTCTTGGCTGTCGGCTCATCTCTGCATCTTGGGCTGCCGGCGCGGGGTTTCATCTGTTCAGCATTTCCATCTTGGGTCGCCTTCGTTTCTGTTCAACTTCTGGGTTGCTTGCGACTCGGCTGTGTGAAAAATTTGTAGGCTACCAGCGATTCTGATTGAATGAGTTCTTCATTGCTGATCGGAATCTGATCAGAAGACACTTGATCGAAATTTTTAGTATCGGGGCTGCTACTGTGCTGGGGTAATTAGTGTGTTCGGCTGGAAGGGTTTGCCCATTGCAGGTGGTGTTTTGCAACATGCTTCGCAAAAACTATAGTCTCCTAAAATTCAGCTGCCAAGTGTGTGTAACCTGATTAATTATTTGCTTAAAGTATAAAGGGAAGAAGAAGAAGAAGGAGAAGTGCAGCAAGGGTCTGGTTTTTGGGGAAAGATATCCAGTAATATGGGTTGGACATGGTTTGTGTCTATGGGTTTGGTTTGGTCGGGGTAGTTGGGGCATGTGGGAATTGGACGTAGATTTTATTGGGTTAGGGTTATTTGTCTGGGGGCTTGAGTAAGTTAGGGTAATATTGGTTCAAGAATGTATGAGTGCCAACTGTAATTATCTTTGGGTTTTCGGTAGTATATTCAAGACATGGGGCAAACATCATCATCTTTTGAAGATCGGAGGATAGGAGAGCACTCATCAAGGGGGGTGGGGCGCATAATTATGGGATATTTTTCTTTGAATATTTGGCTTTGACTCCAAAGTCAATAGGTGCGAATGGTGGGGGAGATGTGGGCCCTTGTCTTAAGAAGGGTGTGGATGCTGAAGGGATTTTCTAGGTAGTTGTGAAAATGTTTCTTGTGGTGATTTTAGCTTTCGGATGATGAGCTAATTTTGGATTCTCGAAGGAGGATCACCCTTGAGTGGTTTTGGATTCTCGAAGGAGGATCATCTTTGAATTTTTTCTGTAGGCTGTTTTGGGGGATTTCTTCTAACTACTACATCTTAACCAGCGATATATTGCTGAATTTTTGGCTGGTTTATTGCATTAGAGCTTTTGTCAGAATAAGAATTATGTGTGCGACTAAGTTCTATAGAGCTCGTGCGTGTCAGCATACTTCGTGAATTTCTTTTGGAAATTCTTCTTGGGGAGTAAGCTCTCTGAAGTGGTTTTGTAATGTTCTTGGAATGGTTTTTGGTTGTTTCTCAGCGCTACTTCTCGTTCTTAGATCTCTCATCGTCACTATTTTTCATAGATTGTTGTTGGTATCGTCATCAGTTCATGATTGCAGAATCAATTTGACAAGGGATAATGAGATTGGATAAGATTACGAATATCGTCGAAGATTATAGATTGACATCTATATTATCATTATAATTGTACCATATATAGATAAATTGCTTTTACCACATTTATATTATATATTATAACTATATAATTCAACGATATCCTAAGGGAAAATGATTCAGCCAAAAGATAGACGGACTTAAAGAATGTAAGACAAAAGATTAGTACCAAGTCAACATAATAGTCAATCACATTAAAATTGATAAAATAACTTAGTTATTAAAAAGACATGATATTATATGTGCTACATAGACCTGATGAAATCGCCATTCACAAAGTAATACATTGTCATTCGTATTTCACTAAAAGAAGCCATACACCAAAATTAACATAGGCTGAGGTGATGCAAAAGGTTTTAATTTGAGTGGAGACAAAAATATATGCACGTTTTTGGAAAGTTCTATACAGGGAAGCCAACAAAAAGAAAAAATTCCACTAGCACACCTTCCATTTAGAAGGGGATAAGATAGAGCAAAAATTAACATAGCATAAAGCTGGAAGCAAAACGTTTTGCTGTTGGCTAGTAATACGAAGTTATGAACGTCTGCAGAATGTTCTACCAGGACAGCAAACAAAAAAATATTGTTATACCAACGTACCTTCCAAAACCAGGATATCTGCGGATCAGTTTCTTTATAGCCACTATATTCTGTATGTGCTTTCCAGTCCTCCACAGAAATTGCACTTTCACTGCCATGTAGCATCAAGTCAAGATCTTCAGGATCTAAGCTTCGGAAAAAGGATCTCTGGAGTTTTTGGCAACCTATAATGTCAGCAAAACCTCTAGCAAAATGGGCCACCTGTCCAGATATAGACTTGACGAAGCGATGCTGAATAAGAGAATCAACATAGAGCTCCCTATTTTTACTATTTACTGTAATGCTTTTCCCATTAGGGCAGAGCTCCACAAGCTTTCTTGATCCTAGCTCATCAAATTCATGAACAAAAGTCAGACCCAGAGCATCTTGATCAACTGCCTCAGGATCCATCTCCAATATTTGCTTGCAGCTACTATACAAATAAGGATCTGCATCCTGAATATCTCCTAATGAAATAGTTTCCCCAGCTAATTGCAGAAAGAACACACGATCAAAGATTATTCCAATTTGTACTTTATGCATTAATGATAAGGCAATCACCCTGCCAGAGAAGCTAAAATATTCAAGGTGCAAAGGATCCACCTTAGATGCTGCAAATATAAAACAGGGCACAGGAAGGAAATTATTGCCTTGTCATATGCATCAACATTACAAGTACTTAAAATACACACGGAGAAAAGTAATTTGTAACACGTTTAACACTTAATACAGTGCTTTAGACACTCTATATAAGCCCCTGTTTGACATACTTCATTTTAAAACTCTTTTTTCTACATGCTTACTTTTAATCACACATTCACACAATAAAATATTTTGCATGTAAATTCAAAACTTTTCCTTACTTCTTAACCATACATTATCCAAAAATTCACTATTCAAGACTTTGTTTTTGCCAATTAATGGCCATCAAACAGGGGCCTACATGAATAGAGACATTTACAGCTAATTAATTGTTATTAGTGAAAAAGAAGGAAAAAGGAACTGTAACTTAACGTCAAAGTAAATTCTTTGATTTCTGCTGTATCACAATTTTGGCATGGTGATTTTGTGAGGGAGATTCCTGGGGGAAAGGATTTGCGGATAGAAACATTGAGAACTCCATAAGGCCAGGGACAGCAACTAGATTGACATATGGCTTTTCAACAGAGAATGCTCAAGTAAAAGTTTTACAGAGATGAGGGACCCTTACAGAAATTTGCCACATTTTCTAATATTCAGATTCCTCAAAACATGTAGCAATTCACATACTTCTAAGAAAACTAAACCTAATCCTAAAATAGATTAATAGTGCAAAACAATAGAAACGATTGGCAAGACTCTTACTATGAGGGGATGCATGACATCTTATTTATGTTCTTCCGAATTTCTTGCCGTCTAAGAAGATTAAAGAAGTAAAATACCTAAGTTTATTGAGAAAACACCATAGCTTCTCATTATTGTACTGGATTTAGAGGGGTTTTTTCATGCATTCGCACATATCACCGCCTTTCAGGGAGACAAAATGACGCGAATGCTTGTGTGACACGGGGCACTGGGGTGAAGGAGGAAGGAGGGATTCAACAATTGATTAGTTTATTGAAATTAAATCCCCATATACTTTTCCTCCGTTCCACGAGACATAAGCATTCTTGATCCATCTACAAGTGCATTCCTATCCACCTTATCAAGGAAAAGAAAAAAGGCCGATTCCTTCCTACAAAAATAGGTAGGAATTCTAAATAAGAAAGCAACGACGTACAACAACCTCCCTACGAAGAATCGGGAGCGAGAGAATGGGGGGCGCTTGTGAGAGAACGATAACGAGATAAACCTATATTGTATTTTGGTTTCAGTTGGTATCCTAGAGGTAATATTGTTTCAAACTTTTGTAAAAGGAGTATTACTCCCAAATTCATAACTTCATATAATTCTCTATCTCCTCCTCTCCTTGTAATTATACAGGAAAGGTCTTGTATTAATCTTTCTATCAGTAGACAGGATAGGGACCTTTCTTAAAAAAAAAAATAAAGAAAAAGAAAAAAGAGAGATCAACCCCTTTCCATCTTTTATCAAGGTGACATCCTTTTCCATTTATATAAATATTGCTCCTCATAGTAAATTGTTGGTGTAAACCTCACAAAGATAATAGCACTCGACTATGTAACAGAGCCAAGTACACTGCAGTTCTTATCTACAACCATGTAATCAAAAAGTTAAAAATGTAACTCTTCCATGCAGCACACATAAGCCACATAATGCATGTATCAATTAAAATAGATTTTGTAAAAAGTGACATTTTTTTGAAGAATGTGTAGTTAAAAAGTAGATAAAAATTTTGGGTTTACATGCAATATTATTTTATTGGGAGAGTGGTTAAAAATGAGTTTGGGGAAAAATGAGCTTAAAGAATGGGGATCAAACAAAGGATATATTTGACACCATGCTGGGTTCAAGCACATATAGTTTTGTTCCACCACCTTCCCATCATTAGTTGCTCCTATTTGAACTTCAACCTTGCTTCATAAACATATAATGTCAAAACAATTTGTATAATGATTAAAGATTAAGAACTCTCAGTGCTCATTCAAAATACAATGCTAAAATTAACAAGTATCCTGTATAGTTCTGCTTCCACTAGATCCTTTTTGGGGACAAGGCAGGTTGTCATTATTTTCATCTTTCCCATGTGCAGTTGTTGTCAAAGGTACTTCACATACTATTTATTTATTTATTTATTTATGTTTTAAAAAGAATAAAATAAAATAAAGACTCAATTTACAAAGCCAATGCCAATTAAAAGAATTCTTAAATCATCTCATTGTTAGAGAGGAGGATTCAAAAAGATGAGATCTTTCCATACTCCTATATTTTTTTTCTTTCAATGTGTATTAAGAGATTTTTAGAAGACAATAATAAAGGAAGAATTCACTGTTTTAAAAACCATTAAGCCCGGTAAATAATCATTATGCAAATATTAGAAACGTGAAAGTAGGGTTGATAGATTGAACCTCAAAAGAATCACTCCCTTAACAAAATAGAGATATATATATGCCAGACTATTAAGTGTTTTCCATGCATATTATTTGACAAGTGATAAGCATAGATGATAACGTATCTCTATTTTCATTTGCTGCACCTGTACATCACAGATTTTCAAACAGTAAGAAAATCATTAAAGCTAACAAGCTTGTATTGCTGCAAAAAATATTTGATGTTAATCACATGAGGCCTTCACTGGTAAATTTTTAAAGAAGCAGGTCATTAAAACATAGACACCATACCTGGATTTGGAAAGAACCTTCTACGATCCCTAGGGCAAGCGACAAAGAGGGCATTTTGAGGGTTGAAGATTGCTTGACATACCAAGTTGAACCACTCCCTTAGAACGCCCGGGCCCGTGGCCTCCTCGTTCTTGAACTCCATAAATAAACCAGCGCGCAAAACTTGTGGTTCTGCATGTGCAATATACTCAAATGATTCTGCCAACAACTGTGAACGATCAATGAGCATCTCGTGCAGCTCTTCATAGTCGTCCTTTGTCTCGGGAAGCATCATCATCACTAAATGCCTCCTCACCTCAAAATTAGTCACTTCCTTGTGCTTAAGAATCCACTTGTGATCATCACTCCTCTTTGCAAACTTGAGAGTAAGATAACACAAGGCATCCTTCCTCTGCCTCATTTTGTCCCAAAACAACTCCTCTGCACCAGTATAAAGTTTTGAAATACTGTTAAGTTCCTTTAAAATCGTTATATACTGGCACCATCCAAAGAAAAGGGTCTCATTATCCAAAGTCGCTCGCAGCTCCAGGTGCTCATCAATTTTCTTCAAACACTCCACCATAATTCCTAATAAATTATTGAAAATCCCATGCAAATGTGTAATCTCCTCCCCATCAGGCACTGGCAGACAACGATTCTCTCCCAGAGGAAATGTGATTGGGCCACATGACACAACATGCTCCTCGATCTTCTTTCTCGCTGCAACCAGAAAGGCAGTGAAATCCTGTACTTCATTCAATGAAGGCCCCAGACATGAGCTTGTGTCCATGCTTAACTGTAGATTGTGCGACAACTTAGCTGCTATTTCCCCAACAAACCGAAAAATATCATGAATACCTAACATCTCCCTGCGTTCTCCAATCTCACACTCAACCATTGTCCCCAAACTACTCCGGCAAAAAGTATATAATGGATCATCAGTCCCCGCCGCCCCATTTAGCAACTTACAGAATTCCAAAACTATAGGCGCGCAAAGATAATGTGTATTCTTAGGCAAAACATTCTTAATCGAACTAATAAACTGTCTAATGGCATCATTTGCTACATCCTTATTGGGTTTATGAGAGGACATATAGAGCATTACCAGAGCAGCTGGGGCTGAGGAAGAAATGAAAATTTGCAAATGACTGGATGCTTGATTAGTATCCGTACGCGAGGTCATGGAGAGGAACTCCAGAAGCATCGATTTGACGGTTTTCGAGGGAACCAAATTAGGACGTGGCTTAGAGTGGTTGTTCTTGTAGAGGTAGAAAACCATGGAAACGACGTCGTCCATGAGCTGCCAGGCCTGGGGGTGCTCGGTACTCCTCATGCGCCCTACTAACTGTAACCCAGCATCGTTCTGGACATTACACTCAGCCAGAGTCTTCTCCCACTGCAACTGTTTTCCCCGGTAAATCAACCGCTGCTCCATCACCGGAATTCCGGTAATCTTCTGAATTTTCTCATGGATCGTTTTGATGGTGTCGGTGCAGTGGGCTTGAACGACAAGGGTTCTCTCGGAGAGCATACGGACAAAGAACTGGAGGCGAGCGGGGGAGCTGGTTGACTCAGTGAGTGATGATCGGGGCCGGTACAAGACGGGTGAATTGGAGGAAGAAGGGAGAGCAGTTTGGTCCTTTCTCATCCTGGTGGCGACAGGACTATGGCTTAAGGAAGACAATTCATCGACGGAATCTTCAAATTTGCGTTTGGAAGGAGTTGAAGACATTTGTGAGGGAAGGACGAGTAGGGTTTTCACGGTAGGACTGAGCCCATAGAATCAATTGAACAAAAAACCCTATTAGCTTATACCTCAGACTGTTTACTCTTTCTGTAAATTGGGGGTGAGAATTTGGAGAAGACGACCGATTATACTTACACATCAGCCTGATGGAGCATCAATCAGCGTGTGAGTGTGAATGTGCAAGGGTAGTCATAGCGTGAGGGGGATGCCCTGCTGGCACCTGGCAAGCAATGGGAAATTTGCACATCAACTCACCATTTGATTTTTTAAGAACTTTAGGTCCTCATATTTTTCAAAATTGGCATATTGGTCCTCACTTGGACGGAAACTGTTAAAAACTCGTTGATAAGGACTAACGGTACAGCTGGTGTGACAAATGATGCATCTATTAGAAAAATTTAAACCTTATATTTAAAGGTTGAACCCCAACCTTGAGGGCTCCCACAGCTTTATTCCACCCCTAGAGCTTTGTAAGGAAGATAAATTGTGGAATGTGTCCGAATAGACCAGGAAACAAAAGCTGCTTGTACACTGTATCTATAAGGAGTCCAATTTCATGTCTCAGGAATCGAACCCCACACTGCGGCTGTCAACAAAGCGTGAGATAACCTCACTCATGTTCTTTGCACTATTGAGCTATGTCCCGAGGGCAAATTTAAAGCTTATAGTTACATACACAAAGTGTTACAGTTACATACACAAAGTGTTACATATTATTTCAGAGTCATACTTGAACTCGATTTTGTTTTTTAAGAATCCTCATAATTCTTTTTAGGGATTACCTAAGGTTCTTATCTTTTATTGCTATTTATCTAATCAATTTGTTCTTAAAATCTAAACAATATTTACATGTTACAGATGATAAAGGTATTGTTAATGTCGAAGAAGAGGATGCAATATTTTGAAATTTTGACAATGACTTCTATGAGGATGACAACTTGCCTTTGAACTACATAGTGTGCAAGTTGTGAGATTTGGATTGGATGCATAGCAGGGCTACATTAAAGGAATTGAAGAAAATTCATATAAACTGTCTAATATTTGTCTCGTGGCACTAAACGATATGTTAAATGAAATGTGAAATTGAATGAATTTTTTATTTCTACCTATCAATTAATACTATTTAGGTTAAATGAAAGGTGAAATTGAATGAATTATTTAATTCTACCTATCAATTAATATCACATTAAGACCACTTAAATTGATGTTGCAACCCAAATGAGGTCACATAACATTAATCTAATTTATAAGCAACAATTTTGAAGATGAAGTTTCTTAAGTTTCGTATTAGGATAGACATCTATGACCCAAAATTGAAATTGATGGTAAAATTTAGGAATACTTATAAATCTAAAAGAGCAATGAGAAAATATTTTGTTCTAAATAGCAATGTTTGACAAATTGATTTGAAAAAGGGAAATTATCAAAGGGTCAAAAGGTTGAATCAGAGTCGAACTGATGATTTTTAAAAAATATACATTTACAAAAATTTTAAAAATATACATTTAATTTTAAAAAAAAACATTTACAAAAATTGAATCAATTAAATCGAAAACGGGTCACGGGTTTTCCAAAAACTGGTCAATTTAAAGGCTTTCCAAAAATCGACTGATTTAACGAGTTTTGGGACAGATTTTTAATTAGAGATTTTATAAATCTAATTGGAACGATTTTTGGTCCTAGTTCCCAATTTTCCCAATAGAACCTGTCGAGCCGATCTGATTTTTAAAACATTGCTAAATAAAGAAAATATCAAATTCTCAAAGAATGAGAAAGATAGAACCCAAAGTGTTTATAAAAAAGGTGTAGGGAGACTTGTTTTTTAAAACTTTTAAAAAAAGGATTAAAGTTCGTGTATCATTTGCGTATTCAACTCTATTATTTTAAAAAATACGTAGGTGTGCCACTTGTCTCATCACCTATCCCATAGTCGTGATAATGATGGATGTTAATTTTTGAACGGATGAGAAACAATATTGTTAGTCCAGTATTATTTTGGAACAAAGTTTAATTCACGTATGATTTACAAACGAGATAAAATTCATGTAACATTCCCCCAATTGTCCCTTTTAGGGTTTCTTCAATTCAATCATGTTACAATCCAAAATGACTTCTCAATTATATAATAAGTATTCCACCACAATTACAAGCTCTAGGAATCATAGCTACCATCACCGCCCTTGACAATATGACAATATGGCATATATATCTATTAGGGTAATTGGCGCAAATTCATTATGAAAAACGTCCTCACCTTTCATTTTTTGATATTTTTGCCCTCAAATAAACCTTTCGTTGTGATGAAGGTCCTTCCGTCCAATTTCCATCCATTTTACTGTTAATTAAAGAGAGATAACCAATTTTTTTCCACTCAGCAAGGGTAAAACTGTCTCACAAATTGAAAACCCTCATTTTCTTAATTTCCTTCTTCACACTTCACAGCCTGAACGATTCCCATTCCACTCTCTCTCGGTTCTTCAAAAATTTCCATTTATCTTCCATTTCAACAGCTTACTTTTGCTCAATGGGCTCCTGTGGCCGGCGTTGATCAGAAAACCTTGAGGGAGCGTTTAAATTATGGTATTCTTTGCAAAGATAAAATGATAAAGAGCAATATACGTCTTGTTATTTCTATTGCAAAAAATTATCAGGGAGTTGGGATGAACCTTCAAGATTTGGTTCAGGTAATCATTTTCTTTGTTGGTCTTGATTATCTAGCTTAAGGTGTTTCCTGCTAGAAAAACTGTAAAACTAATAGTATGATGTTTGATTCCTTTCTAACACTACATTTTTAACAAATTTTCATCAGGAAGGATGCCGAGGCCTTGTGAGAGATGCAGAGAAATTTGATGCTTCAAAAGGGTTTAAATTCTCCACCTATGCTCACTGGTGGATAAAGCAGGTTGCTCGGAAGTCTCTTTCTGACCAATCCAGGACAATTCGATTGCCGGTAAAATTCCTGTAAAATTAATTTCTTTACAAGTAAATTTCATATTCCATTTTTCTTGTGCTGCAAAGGAAGATGTTACACAATTATTCATTCTTGAAAAAAAATCACCTGTTGTTCCATTTGGGTGTGGTACAATTTAATTTGTAATTTTGTCTGCATATTTGAAATGAATTGTATCTATTTTTGCTTCAGTTTTCGGTTATTTTTGCTTCAACGGGTAGTGGATATTGTGAGATAACCTCACTCATGTTCTTTGCACTATTGAGCTATGTCCCGAGGGCAAATTTAAAGCTTATAGTTACATACACAAAGTGTTACAGTTACATACACAAAGTGTTACATATTATTTCAGAGTCATACTTGAACTCGATTTTGTTTTTTAAGAATCCTCATAATTCTTTTTAGGGATTACCTAAGGTTCTTATCTTTTATTGCTATTTATCTAATCAATTTGTTCTTAAAATCTAAACAATATTTACATGTTACAGATGATAAAGGTATTGTTAATGTCGAAGAAGAGGATGCAATATTTTGAAATTTTGACAATGACTTCTATGAGGATGACAACTTGCCTTTGAACTACATAGTGTGCAAGTTGTGAGATTTGGATTGGATGCATAGCAGGGCTACATTAAAGGAATTGAAGAAAATTCATATAAACTGTCTAATATTTGTCTCGTGGCACTAAACGATATGTTAAATGAAATGTGAAATTGAATGAATTTTTTATTTCTACCTATCAATTAATACTATTTAGGTTAAATGAAAGGTGAAATTGAATGAATTATTTAATTCTACCTATCAATTAATATCACATTAAGACCACTTAAATTGAAGTTGCAACCCAAATGAGGTCACATAACATTAATCTAATTTATAAGCAACAATTTTGAAGATGAAGTTTCTTAAGTTTCGTATTAGGATAGACATCTATGACCCAAAATTGAAATTGATGGTAAAATTTAGGAATACTTATAAATCTAAAAGAGCAATGAGAAAATATTTTGTTCTAAATAGCAATGTTTGACAAATTGATTTGAAAAAGGGAAATTATCAAAGGGTCAAAAGGTTGAATCAGAGTCGAACTGATGATTTTTAAAAAATATACATTTACAAAAATTTTAAAAATATACATTTAATTTTAAAAAAAAACATTTACAAAAATTGAATCAATTAAATCGAAAACGGGTCACGGGTTTTCCAAAAACTGGTCAATTTAAAGGCTTTCCAAAAATCGACTGATTTAACGAGTTTTGGGACAGATTTTTAATTAGAGATTTTATAAATCTAATTGGAACGATTTTTGGTCCTATTTCCCAATTTTCCCAATAGAACCTGTCGAGCCGATCTGATTTTTAAAACATTGCTAAATAAAGAAAATATCAAATTCTCAAAGAATGAGAAAGATAGAACCCAAAGTGTTTATAAAAAAGGTGTAGGGAGACTTGTTTTTTAAAACTTTTAAAAAAAGGATTAAAGTTCGTGTATCATTTGCGTATTCAACTCTATTATTTTAAAAAATACGTAGGTGTGCCACTTGTCTCATCACCTATCCCATAGTCGTGATAATGATGGATGTTAATTTTTGAACGGATGAGAAACAATATTGTTAGTCCAGTATTATTTTGGAACAAAGTTTAATTCACGTATGATTTACAAACGAGATAAAATTCATGTAACATTCCCCCAATTGTCCCTTTTAGGGTTTCTTCAATTCAATCATGTTACAATCCAAAATGACTTCTCAATTATATAATAAGTATTCCACCACAATTACAAGCTCTAGGAATCATAGCTACCATCACCGCCCTTGACAATATGACAATATGGCATATATATCTATTAGGGTAATTGGCGCAAATTCATTATGAAAAACGTCCTCACCTTTCATTTTTTGACATTTTTGCCCTCAAATAAACCTTTCGTTGTGATGAAGGTCCTTCCGTCCAATTTCCATCCATTTTACCGTTAATTAAAGAGAGATAACCAATTTTTTTCCACTCAGCAAGGGTAAAACTGTCTCACTAATTGAAAACCCTCATTTTCTTAATTTCCTTCTTCACACTTCACAGCCTGAACGATTCCCATTCCACTCTCTCTCGGTTCTTCAAAAATTTCCATTTATCTTCCATTTCAACAGCTTACTTTTGCTCAATGGGCTCCTGTGGCCGGCGTTGATCAGAAAACCTTGAGGGAGCGTTTAAATTATGGTATTCT